ACAAACAACCCTCAACATATTCAGAAAATCAATATTATTTCGAACCATACAATTCGGATGGCCCAAAATAGAATATGAAATACACATAGTCTCAGGTTTCAAATTCTCCCATGTTTTACACAAAATGCCAACCAATTCCTCAAAATTCAATTCGCATGAAACATTAATGACAATAGTATCATTCTCATATTTGCATAGCAACAACACTGCACTGTCCATTGAAATTGAAACAAAAAACAACAAAAATAATTTGTTTAACATAGAAACACTTCACAAAAATAACATAAAAGTCCAGAGAAATTTCTAAAAATTATAATTTTCTCTGAACTTAAAATAAAAATCCAAAGACATCTACACACTGATATTCACGTTCAAGATGATAAAAAACAAAATCACAGAAACTTAATGAATCACAGAGAAATTTACTGCTAACTATTAAACACAATTATAGAAAAAAAATCACATAGAATACAACTCTAGAGAAATACTTTTCTCTGAACTACAAACTGAAAGTGAGTAACAAACTTACAATTTTCTCTGAACTACAAATACAAGTCCAGCGAAATTTATGAACTTACATTCACTTTCTCATATTCTATCTCCATTACAAACTTCTAATAATATGTCCATATGCACTTATAATTTCCTCTGGACTACACAAATAAAAGTGCAGAAAATGAAATTTCTCTGGTTTGAAAAAACATAGAACATTGATCAGCATGTTGATAAAAAACAGAGCACCAAAAATGAACTCTAAACATCAAAATCACCTACACTGTCAACACTATTTGAAATTGATCAAAAAACAAAGAATGAAAAATTAATTCCAAAAATAAAAATCAACTCTATCAAGCTGGCCTCTCTCTAAACAAAAATCAAAATCCATGTGGAATCTAAATCGAAAACAAACCTAATTTAACTCCACTCAAAAACCTACGCGATCAACACACTGTCAACACTCTTTGAAATTGATTAAAAAACAAATAATAAAAAATTAATTCCAAAAATAAAAATCAACTCTATCAACCTGGCCTTTCTCTAAACAAAAATTCAAAACAAAAATCAAAATACATGTGGTATCTCTATCGAAAACAAACCTGATTCAACTCCACTGAAAATCTACGCGATCAACACACTATAACACCACTGAAATCTCCAACGAAATCTACACGATCGTAGCAATTTTTCTCGTCAACTCCACTGAAATCTCCGACGAAATCTCCACCATAAAATCTCCACTGAGATCTCTGACGAAAACTCCGACAAAATCTCCGCTTCAAATTCGGTTTCCAAAATCTATCAGTTAAGTCAACAATATAATATTCAAACAAATTTATGTTATAAAGGAAGGGTAATTTATGTACTTTATAACCTAAAATAAATTTGAGGGACCTTAGTCATCAAAACATATTATAAAGGACCTCTCCTCCTATCAAAAGTAGAGGAGGGACCTTAGGCCAATTTTTCCTTTTAAAAATTACATTCTATCCCCTAAGATTTCTAATTTCATAACAAATTATCCATTTTATTAATAAATCATCAAGCCAATTAACAATTTTTAAAGATGTTAAAAGTATGTAAGTAGAGGAGGGACCTCAGGCCAATTTTCCTTATATTTTTTATAAAAAAATTGGAAATTATTAAAAAATTAGTTCCTAAATCGATTTTAATTTTAAAATAATAATTTTAATATTTAATCTGAGACGTGAAAAAACACTACGCATTGGGGCCCATTTTTAGACAAAAATCCGAAGCAAAATTGATGGAGAGGACAAAGGAAGAAGCTTCAAAGAAATTTCCAATAGGCCCCACAATTTGTTCTAAATATCTTTACAGAATATCATGGAGCCCCCTGAGGGACCTTTTTATCTGTACACCTAACAAATTACACACCACCACGTGGCATCTTGCCTCAAGGTCTCCTTACCTTCCATGTTTTTTTTTTTTTTTTTTTGGTGGCTGGCTCTTCCATTCTCACACCGACCCTTCTTCTATCAACTGTTTTTCAGTTAAGTCTTTACTTTTTCTCACAAAATGACCCAAAATCTTTATTTTTTCCCCTTAAGACCATTGTCTAAAAATAATTTCTAATTTTAATTATTTTTCTCATTTACCCATATAGTTTAATTAAAACTGATAATCAAAAAATAAAAGTTAAAAACGCTTCTAATTTTTTCTACTTATGAAACTCTTTTTCATTAACATAACTAGCATATCACCCGTACTATGCACGGATTGTGTTTACAATTATCTATATATGTTAATTGTGATTTTTAAATGTTTTCTTCTTCTTCTTTTTTTAAATTTCTTTTTTTTTTCTTTTTTATATTATATTAAAGTTTAATATTTTGATAATAATCATATGTGTTGGACTTTTCAAGGAGTTAAATGTCTTTTTTTTATTATATTATATTAAAGTTTAATATTTTCATAATAATCGTATGTGTTAGACTTTTCAAGAAATTTTTTTTATACTTGTTCTTAATGCATTAAAGTATTATTATGAGGGATAATAATCATATGTGTTGGGACTTTTCAAGGAATTCATATGTGTTGGATTTCAAAGAATTTTTTTTATGCTTGTTCTTAATGCATTAAAGTGTTATTATGAGAGTAAAACTTGGGAGTTGGGAGAAGTTAATAAATGCTAAGATTATTTTTTTTAAATCAAAAAATCAGAAAATTTAGATTGGGAGATTGGAGCTCCCACAAAGCTTGGGGCAAAAAATCCCTTTTTGCTTAATATATAGTACTAGCATATCACCCATGCTATGTACGGATTGTGTTTACAATTATCTATATATGTGAATTGCGATTTTTAAATGTCTTTTTTTTTATTTAAATGCCTTTTTTTTTCCTTTTTTATATTATATTAAAGTTTAATATTTTGATAATAATCATATATGTTAGACTTTTTAAGGAATTAAATGTCTTTTTTTTATAATTATATTATATTAAAGTTTAATATTTTGATAATAATCATGTGTTGGATTTTTCTATTTTTTTTTATGTTTGTTCTTAATGCATTAAAGTGTTATTATGAGGAATAATAATCATATGTGTGGAGACTTTTCAAGGAATTCATATGTGTTGGATTTAAAATTTTTTTTTTTTATGTTTGTTCTTAATGCATTAAAGTGTTATTATGAGGGTAAGACTTAGGGGTTGGGAGAAGTTAATAAATATTAAGGTTTTTTTGTTTTTTTTTAAATCAAAAAATCAGAAAATTTAGATTGGGAGATTAGAGCTCCCACAAGGCTTTGGGTTAAAAACCCATTTTTACTTAATATATAGTAAGTATAGATAGATAATGGTTTTTAGTTAAAATGCTAAAATTTGTAAAAGTTTACAGTATAGTTTCAACATTTCGGCTTGTTTTGACAACTCGGCTAAATATCATTTTTTTTATTTTTTGATTTATTTGAATCACATTACCTCTTTATTTTTCTATATACTTTTTTTCAAAAAATTAAAAATTAAAAATTAAAAAATCAACTTTTAACTTACTTTATGAAACAAGTGTCATCTCAACCCTTAAGGGACTTTTGGTTTAAGCTTTTTATTTTCTCTCAAAACACCACCAATTCCATCATTATTTGGGATATATAAAAAAAAAGGAGAAATTACCCCTTAGTGGTATTAAAATATTTATTACATATGTATGGAAAATTTTATAATTTTAAATTAATGTGGATAAAGTTTATTATTAATTTGTAATTATTTTTGAAGTTGCACACTGATGTGAATTTTTTCCTAAAAAAAAGACATTTGTATTTTCAAAAGAGTACTGATATATACAAACAAAATGATGTGGCAAAGTTGTGATAACTTCAAAATAATAAATCCATCAAATGACTTGTCAATTTAAAAAATAAATAAATAAAAAAATCACCATCCCATCATTCAAACAAGTGATTCTATATAAAAATTATGAAAAACACATTTTTCCTTCAAACCCCAAATAAATCTACACAATTATATTATTGGTTGGGAACCAAAATAATATCGGCATATACTTGGAGGACAAAAAATGTATTTAACTATTAATTAGAAGTTCACCCATAAAAATTTAAAAGAGAATTAGCCATGTTTAGTTTGATTTTCATAATTTATTTTTCTAAAAAAATGAAAAAATAATTTAGTGAAGAAAATGAAAAAATAAAAAATCTTATCATTTTTATATAATTTTGTCATTTTGAATGGCATAAATAATTTTTAAAAATATAATTTTAATATTTATGTTTGGCAAATTAATTTTAAATTTAAAAAAAATCAGAATTTTCTAAAAGAAAATAAACTAAGCAAAACCATATGTCGGTAACAAAGAGGCCATTGTGATTTGTGAGGGGCATTTGAGTCCACTCAAGAATATCAAGAGTGTGGCTAGCACTGATAGTTCACCCTCACCATATAAAAAGTTGTTGCATCTCATTTTCCAAACAAAACATCCAAATCACTGATAAAATCCCACTTCTCCCAAAACCTCTTGTCTACTCGCACTTGTTACGTATGTCATGGCGTTGCACGTGGTGGTTCAAAACTATAATTTTGATGTTTATTTTTCTAAAATTAATCTTAATTTTTTAATTTTAGAAAATCAAATTAACCTTCGTTTGGCATGAGGCTAAAATGAGGTTGAGACTAAAATAATTACAAAAAGAAAAAATAAATTAAAAAGTTAATAAGATAAAATGTCACATCAAAATCATAATTATTTTTTTTTTTTACAAAAATCAAAAAAATTAAAAAATTCAATCCAAACAAAATTTTTAGACTCAGACTAAAATAGCTAAAAAAATCATAAAGCTAGCCCACTTCTCCGACAAAGCCTAAACATAACCATATATAGGTAACAAATAGGTCATTATGATTTGTGAGGGGTATTTGAGTCCACTCAAGAATATCAAGAGTGTGGGTGCATTTCCCTTGACAGTTTTCACACCGTATAAAGTTGTTGCATCTGATTTTCCAAACAAAATAACATAATATTAGAAGAGTGATGATGCTAACATTTCATGAATTAATCAAATTACTTCCTAATTCACTATCACGATTTTTATGAGGGTTTAATCTTTAAGAGAGACGAATTAAGGAACAAGTGCTTGATATTTTACAAAGGGTGAAGAGATTTACTTTTATGAATATTAATCTAACAACTAATAATTAATTTTTACCGATCAAAAAAAAAAAAAATTGATACTAACATTTGATAGTTTTGTTGATAAATCTCGTGTCCCTAACATTTTTCATATTAGAAAATCCCACATTCTCCTAAAACCTGGTCTCTTCTCTCACTTTCACTCATTTTTGTTACATATACGCATATGATATATGATGGGGTTGCACTTGGTGGTTCTGGCAAAGCTCAACCTCACAGCCACCGCGGGCCACGGCGCGAGTCCCCTCGTGGTCATCTTGGTGTGTCCTTTCCTCCTCAAGCTGTCTTTCAGCTCCAGACCCTTCCAACGAGCTTACAACGACATCATAAGAGCTTCGAGGCTCTTCTTCTTCCAGTTAGGTCAGATTGCTTTCAACAACATTGAACCAGCTGGTCCTAGACAACGGTGGCACCGAGCCCTCCGGTTAGTCTACCAGAGGCTGACTCATGCTACGAGGTCACTGGCTTCAGAATCCTATGAGGAAAGCTTGCGTGCTCTTTCTATGCTAGCACTTTGAGTTTGTGAATGTGGGTTTTTGCTATTAATTCACTCATTCTGTGTTTTTACTTTTCTTTTTCTTATTGTTGTTGCAGTACTTGATAGCCTTTATATAATGCATTCACATTCTTCAGAAACTGTGAAAAATGCCTTCAGTTTTCATTTTGTTCTCTTGCTTCCCGTTTCACATTTTCTGCAGAGTCAAACACAAGTGAATATATACCTATAGCTATTTCTTACAAGAGACTATTCCAATCAAACAAACATGTCAGTATATAGGATTTTGTCAATCGAGTCCGGATCCTCTGGCGCTTTCTCCAGCGGCGCCCAAAACGACGTCGTTTTGTGGCAAATTTTCAAAAAAAAAAACAAAAAACACACACACAGAACCAAAGAAGAGTAAAGAGGGGAAGAAGATTTGAGTACAGAGGAAGAGAAAGAGGAGAAGAAGAAAGAGTGGCATCCCACAGGCGACAACCTCTGGCCTCCCTTCACCCACGGCGCCACCAGCTACCCGCCATCGCCGCCGAAACCCACCATCGCCACCTCCATAGCCGCGAGGCCCCTTCTCTCTCTCTCTCCCTCTCTCTCTCGATCTCGATGGCCGGCAACCATCTCGATCTTTTCTCCTCTTTTCTTTGCCGCCGGTGTATCGGAGGGAGTTCATCGGTCATCCTCATTGCCGTTCGTCGATTTTCCCCCCGGTTTCAGCCTAGATCTGAAATGCAGAAAGATGGATTTATGAAGAAAAGCAAAGTTTCAAAATTTCTATGAAAGATTTGACATCCAAAATCAAAGAGGAGGAGAGGAAATTTTTTTGACTGTTGTTCTTTGCTTTTGTTTGTATTAATCTAATTTTTTGTCAATTTTGATTTATCATTTGGGATGTTCAAAGTGTTAATGTATATGTGTATATATATATATATATATCAGATTAAAAAATCTCAAACTTTTGTTTGAATGGTTGTTAATTTTGAATGGTTATTTGAATGTTTGAATGGCGTTCTTCTGAGTGTTCTTCTTCCCCTCTCTCTCTTCTCTGGTTGTGTGTGTGTGTGTGTGTTTTTTTTTTTTTTTTTGAATTTATGTTCTCTGTGTGTGTGTGGGTGTTTGAATGGTTTTTTTTTTTGGGGGTTAATTTTCACTTGTTTTCTTAAGTGATTGAATGGGTTTATGAGCGGTTTGAGGAAAACCCAGATCAGAAAATGGGGTAAATCACAAAACTCAGATGGGGATTTCGTAGAGTAAGAAACTAAAGCATAGACTTTCCGTCTCTGTCCCTCCTATTTTCTCGCAAGAAAGTGGAGTTTAAAGAACAACCCAAAACAGGGGTCTCCAGTGAGTTGGCCAGAATGTTCAACGGAGGTTGAGAACAATAACCACAAAAGAAATTGCAAACAAGTTTGCAGAGAGAGAAAAGGAGATGTTGGAGAGAAGGAGATTTTGGGAAGGGTGGGCTGAAGTCAAATTTTGAGGGGAAAAAAAATAATAATAACAGTAAATAAAATCACGTCGTTTTGGCCATTCTAGGAAGAAGGGCCGCAGGAAAGTGCAGCCGATGGTCTGCACTCTTTGTCAATCTATCCTAATAACATACATGGATCAATTGAAACCTGAGATAGAATACATAATGTAAATAAATTGTTAATCTCTAGACTAATAGTCCGGGAAATATTTGTCTCCTTTAATTCAATTCACCCAAACAATATGGCCAAAGAATTAGGACCATAACTATCTTGTGATTGTATAAATTTAAAACACAGAGAAGTAATATTTGAGATTCATATCCTCTCCATTTTACAAAAGAAATTGATGGGGATTTCAATTTCATAATCAACAATTGTGAAGGATCCGAGTTGATAAATATTTATTGAAAATTCAAAAATGACAAAGAGAATTTTGTAAACTTAAAATTGAGTTGCTAATTTTGAATTTTAATGATGTATCACAACTTTATAAAATTAAATGGAAGAAAATCAAATTCCTATATTGATTCATCAAAATGCCAATAATGCTAAGTACTCAAAAAAAAAAAAAAAATTTATTATTATTGAATTTAAAATGTGTATATCAAATTTATTAGGCTTATGATGTACAATATTTAAACTAAGTTCAAATTTAATTTTATGTACTATTTCAAATATATTTTTCAACCTAACTTAAATGTCTATAGAAGCACCATTATTGCATAGCCAGCCAGCAAAGATTATATATATATAAAAGTAGCGTTGTATGATAAAAAAATACAGTCCTACTGCGCAACTCGAATTTACTAGGATTCGACTATCCTAAATTTTAAAACGACGTCGTTTGATTTTTTATTTTTATTTTTTCCTTTTCTTCTTCCTCCCCCTCTCTTCTTCCTTCCCTCTCTCTGCTCTGCTATGCTTTTCAAAAAAATGAAAATGAAAATCTAAATCTAAATCGACAAAAACAAAAAGGTGTTTGGCACCAACCAATGATGTTTTCAGTTACCAACTGAAATCAAAATCAAAGAGACAAACCCACAAACCCAAAAAAAATCAGTTACCAACAGAAATGATAGTTCGTAAATTCAAACTCACAGCAAACTCAATAACTCAAAATCTCACATGAAAATCAAAATTAAACAAATGAACTCAAAAAAAAAAAAAAAAAATCAAACCCACAACAACAAACAAACCCACATGAAATCTAAATCTAAATCAAAAACTCAAAAAAATGTCACAAATCACCAAATCTACACAAATCAAAAAAATTAAAATCAAAATAAAAAAAAGACGAGGAGAAGAGAGAAAAACAGAGGAAGAAGGAGAGGAGGAAGAAGCCGCCGTCGCCATCATCGTTGCTCTTTGTCGCCCATCCCCATCACCATTGCTCTGTGTGTATACATACACACAGTCCGTCGTCGCCATCACGCCATCACACCGTTGCTCTTCTGCCGCTTCTCTCTTCCTCCCTCTTCTCTCTCTCTCTCTCTCTCTCTCTTCTCCCTTCATTCTTCTCTCTTCTCCCTGTTTAAAGAGAGGGAAAACAAAAAATTCAAAACGATGTCGTTTTGAATTTCGAGCCAATCGAGCCTTGAACTTTTCGAGCTCTCAAGCTTTATTGAAAAAAATATTATGCAGAAAATTAATATACAGTAATGTGATAATTTTTTATTTTATTAATCAAAAGTTAAAAAAAACATCACATTGGTGTAGATTTTTAAATATATCACTGTTACGTCATTTCGGACAAGAATTGTTAAGAAAATCTAAGAACTGAGTAAGAATAAAATTTTCTTACATATAAAATAACAATCACCTTGCTTGTTTCTACTTTTCAAAAACCACTTTTCAGAAAATTCTACTTTCTTATTTTCCGTATTTTTTTGTTTTTACTGGTTTTTCTTAATATTTTAAACAATTTTTTTACTTTTTAGACACACCTAACATAAATACATCTAAAAAGTAAAAAAATTGTTAAAAAAATCTTTAAAAATTCACCAAATACCAAAAATACAAGAATTCAGTACATTTTTTTATATTTTTATGTATTTATTAATTTTTTAAAATATTTTTTCACAAATTTTTTACTTTTTAGATACATCTAAGTAAGGTGCATCTAAAAAAGTAAAAAAAAAAATATTTAAAATTTGAAAAATATTCACTAAAAACAAAAAAATACAAAAACTAAAAAAGTCAACTTTCAAAAAACTTAATCTAGAAAACTCAAACCAAACACACTGAAGGGTGCCTCGCAGGGTTTTTATTATGATTATTATTTTAAATTTAATTTCACAAGCACATGTGTTGGCTACATATTTTATACAAGCCAATTACAATTCGACGCGTGGCAAAATAATGGTGACATAGGAAGACTATTCAAGTCTTCGATCCTGATCATACACGTGGCAGTTAGTATTGGTTATTACGAGATCTGAATAATAGTGGATCAACAAAGAGATACAAGGTGATGTGACTTCAACGGTTACTCGCATTTCAAATTCAAATTTAGGAGGGAAGCTTAACTGCGAGTAATGGCGTAATGGAGCTAATATTGGGGCAACACGATCGGCGATCATGGAGGAACAGTTCGACGGTTGGAAATGCAATTCGATGGTCATCCTCGAGCAGTATAAATAGCAAAGAAGGCCCCAGAAAAGGCCCCCAGACTCAGATCCAAAAAACCAGTCTTATTCTACTTTACTTAGTTTTACATTTCCTATTCTTTACATTCCAGTACTTTAAATTCTGCACTACACTTCATTCATAGGAGTAGTTTCAAGTAGATTGTCGCTGTAAACCTTTACGAGGCTGAGTTTGAATCATTGTAAGTTTTTCATTCTAATGAAATGCTTCAGTTGTTCATTATTTGATTGATATTTTGCTTAATTCTCCTAAATCAAGCCATCACTAAAAGCCCTCTTCATTGAGGCTGAGAGAACTAAAACACAATCGTTTGATAATTGGTTGGCAATTAAATTTCTGTAAGGACTGATTGATCCTTGCTGGCACGCTCGCAATTACAATAATAACCTTCTAAAACCAAAAAGTCAACATATATTTTTGGCACGCCCGGTAGGACAATTGAAATGGCTAGACATAGGAGACAAGAAGAAAATGAACGCCTGGAAGAAGGCATAGAAGGAGAGGTAGAGATACTAATCCAGAGGATAATGTGATAACACATCCTGTGGAAATCCCCATTTTATCAGAACTTATGGTCAAACAGACTAGTACTTCAGAACAAATACCACATGTTCGTAATGTTGGACGAGACCAAAGAATTGGACCATCCACTGTCCCATCTACTCAGCCAATAAATCCATGTGGTGGCTTAATAGATGCAATGGGACAGCAATTAATGAACACAATGAAAAGATGGGCAACGTCCTTTTTGGATCGGATGAATAACCACCAATTAACAAACGTAAGACACATTGAGGAAGTTTCGAATGTCCTTTAGCAAAGATTGGCTAGAGATAAACAGCCTATGCAAGTTAATGGACATTCTAATGGTCAAACTAGTAATCAGAACTGTAAAAGACCATCACCTCAATCTTGGTACGAGCCTATTCCGAGGCCTATAGCAGGTCAAAATGCCTCAGTGCTTAACAGTGAAGCCATGCAATTTGGTGGATCTGGCCCAGTACAAGAAAATGGCATAAGAATGGTTCTAAATCCCATGTTCGAAGCCATACCTGGCATAAGGGGTTTCACTAATCCTTTATTCGAATTTATACTCGGGGGGTTAGAAGGTTTTTCTACAAATAGAAGAGACACAACAACAGTTCCAGCACCTTTTGCAGGTCCTTTCGCAGGACAAGCTCAACGAAGTTACCCACACCCCCAACAGCAACCTGCACCGCAGGGACAACCAGTCCCAAATATACCACCTTATAGACCAAGAGGACCACAGGCACAAGTTTACCCACCAAATCCTGTGTTTGCCCCTCCAGTAGTGGTTCAGCAGGCACAAAATATAGTCTTTAGGGACCAAATTGCTGACATCGTTAGGGAGATGTGTGGACCGATGGCTCGGGGGGTCCAGACTCCTGTGTACAAAAAACTATACCCAGAATGGATAGATAGGGTACATAAATACCCAAGAGATTTTAGGATACCAGATTTCGCCATTTTTTATGAGAATGGAAACCAATCAACAGTAGAGCATATTGCTAGGTTTGCTGCTCAATGTGAAAAATTCACTAATAATGACTATATGAAGCTGAGACTGTTCCCAAACTCTCTAACTGGAGGAGCATTTGTATGGTACATTAACCTTACACCTGGTTCAATCCAAACTTGGCAACAAATAGAAGAGGCATTTCATGCCCAATTCTTCCAATCGGAGCCAGAGGTTTCCATGGCAGACCTGGCAAGATTAAGTCAAAGGCCTGAAGAGAAGGCTACTCAGTTTATTCCCAGAGTTAAAAGGGCTCGAAATAAATGTAGAGTCATCTTGCCAGAGCCAGAATTCGTAAGATTGGCCCAAAATGGCTTAGAGT